CCTATCCTATGGTTTGTGAAAATCTGGAATCTGAGGGTGCAAAAAAATCAAAATATTGAGAAAATTGCCTTTAAAGTTGTCCAAATGAAGTCCTTAGCAATGCATATTACTAATCAAAAATTAAGTTTTAATATATTTGCAGTAGGAAATTTACAAAATATCTTCATGGAACATGATCTTTACTTAATATCCTAATGATTTTTGGCATAAAAGAAAAATCTATAATTTTGACCCATACAATGTATTTTTGGCTATTGCTAAAAATATACCCCAGCGACTTAAGACTGGTTTTGTGGTCCAGGGTCACAAATTTCATCATGTACGAACAATAATCATCAGACCCCCTGCAGAAGACCCCTGATTTAAAAGATGAATTGAACTTGAGATGTAACTCTTAGCATCTCTCCATTATTTAAATCCCTAATGATCCTTCACTCCCAGTATCGCCCTCTCCCCAAATGTGCTGACCTTACACATGCGCTCACACACACTAACACATATGTTGCTCATGACGTCCCATCCCCCTGTGACCTTGCATATGTGCTATGATTGATGTCAGATGATGAATGACACAGAGCCAGAGATGCACCTCTTGCTATGGAAAGCACAACAGACACATGGATGCTTTCTGGTACTAAAAACTGATGAAGGTCATATTCCTTTAATTAGCAAATCATAATCGCAAAAGCAATTTTTGACTCTTCTGAGAACATACATCACATTGATTGTGGTTATTATCGAATGTGAGAAACCCCCCCGCAAGGCCTGTCACTTTAACAGACTGACAAAGAGAGACAGTCGAAGATTAAATATGCTGCCATATGGGAAGACAAATGCACCGATTATGATTTGCTAATGTGACAGTGATGTATTTTTGATTCGATGTGCTTTTTTCTTTCTTAAAATTATTTCCCCTCTCTCTGTTTTTTTTTTTATGCAATTTTCTCTTCACTTCATTCATCTGGTGGCCCATTAACAGGTAGGTTTATTTCTTTGGTTGCTATTTTTGGTGTTATTATGTTGAAGTAGACATAGCATTGTATGTATAATAACTGTAGCAATCATATTTTGCGGTTTAGCAGCCATTAACTAAAATAAATATTTTTGTCTTGTCTTATAACAGTAGTTTAGTAGCAATTTTAATACATTAACGTAAATGTTTTAATTGTTGCCATCACTATAGCCATGTTTCCTCACTCTCTGTTAACTATTCACACAACTAAACTGTTTTTCTCTCCATCCGCCCCTCCTTGGAACTAACAGCAAAGATCCAGGAAGAGCGTAAGTGCTTCATTAACACGGATTAACTTGTTCATTAAATCAGCAGCTGGTTTTAATACGGCTTACAACTAAACTTATCACTTCGGAAATCTAAAGAACAGACTTATTACTGAATTGCTGTTGGAGATTGCCCAATCTCTTTTTACAATCAGAGCCAACACAGGCCGGAAAAACTATTGAAAAGACCCTCAAACACAGTCTCAACAGAGCTCACATAAGTTCACTGTGCTACTCTAGATAAATTATAAAGTCTATCATTTATTAAAGCTGATTAATATTCTAATGTAAGCCCAAGAGCATGTGTTTTTGGCAGGCCATGTCTTTGAAGGGAAGGATTACTTCAGGAGTTTGTTAGCCATGCCAGAATACCCACAGTTCGGAGCCAGCTAGAAGTAGAGTAGAGCAGTCAGGAATCTTGTGGCTAATCGTGTATCAAGTTCAATGAGTATAATATACAGTGAACACAGAGGCTAATAGCTACAATTTGGTGGAATGCAATAGAGTGCAACAGTGCCCGTCCACGTTTTTAGTGCCTGCAAGTGTTTTTCCATGGAGATTTTAAAAAAGGCTTTAAGAGTTATAAGCCATGACCCAAACCAACCAGCTACAAGGTGAATCACAGCATTACAAACTTTGATTTATAATAAAAAAATAAAGTATTTGAAAATCAGCCAAAAAGACAAAATTCCCAGACTGTGCACTTAACTGTTTTGAATAGAGAAAGCACTGTCCCATGATGCACTACGAATGACATAATTGATTTAAAGGGGTGGTTGATTGCGATTTCACTTTTTTAATGTTAGTTAGTGTGTAATGTTGCTGTTTGATCATAAACAATATCTGCAAAGTTACGAAGCTGAATGTTCAATGCAAACGGAGATATCGTCTTTTAAAATTCTGGCAGTTTAATGCCTACAAAAACGACTGGTACATTGTGTATTTCTGAGGGAGGGGCTTCATAAAAGCAGGAAATGATCAGCGCGTTCAGAGGAGAAGGGACAGAGAGGTGTGGAATAAAGGTAAATTATGTGAAAAATAATGTGTTTTTTAACAAACGAAGCATTAACACATGTTAGACTGCAACCCATAAACACAATCAAGCCTATAAAAAAACCAGTCAACCACCCCTTTAAAAAAAAATTGAGAAATTTAAAACTATTGATTTGAAAGATGTTGATTATGGATATAGAAACGCTTCCATTGTAAAACATGTGCCAAATGGCTATGCAGGAACCCCTAACAGGAACAGCTGGAGGAGAGAGAGATATTGTGTATATAGAAACAATACATTTTATGTTTATGGCAAAATATGCATATATATACAAAAATGTAAGTTGTTTGAGGATGTAGGGAAATTCGCAGTGCTTCATGGGAATGGGTGAGCTCTAAAGTTATTTTGTCGTGATTTGCTTGTCACGGTTCTCTGACTGGTGGAGATTTCTCTACAGAATCATGGGTAATGTTGTTTTTCATCCGAAATTCCACTGTTATGATTATTTAAAAAAAATGTGAAATAATGCGGGACCAAAGCACATACCAGCGATTAACACCTTGTAGCGCACAGTATAAGTAAAAACTCTTTTTAAAGCTTCATAAGTTATTGTGAAAAATCAGTTCCCCTATGGAGAAAATGAATGGTATCTTTACCTTACTTTACTATTTTACTTCCACAACCTGACTGTTGCACTCGTCCATTGACAAAATTTATATTATATAATAGATAGTTGTAGTTCTGGATGCTTTTTGCTTGCCTGCTAAATTATACGCAATAGTAGCTATATAGAGCTTTACTGTGTTCACTGAATGTTGTTCATAGCTACATCCTACAATCTCCCATACATTTTTGCAAAGGTCATACTGAATATATACAATTCTTAACATTTTTGCATTTATTTTGGGGGGAAATTGGTGTAAACACAGTAAAATGATAAACGTAGCTCCAGTAACAAACTTATTGTTAGCTGCTAACATAGTCAAATTAACCTATATATTTAGTAAACAAACACACAAGGGGCAAAGAGTTTATAATGTATGTATGTAATTAACAAAGAATGAGTGATTTATGATGTCTTTTATTTTGTATGTTACCATGAGAGTGAATTGAACAACCATTTTTCAAGAAATGCAGTGCTTGCATATAGCATTGAGTTAAGCGCTCTTTCTCAGTGACTATCTTTGTCCCTCCCTCCACAGTGAAACAGCCCCCCACCATTGTAAAGCAGTCACTAAAGGACTACATTGTGGACCCCAGAGATAACATCATCATTGAATGCGAGGCCAAGGGGAAACCAGTGCCAACGTGAGAATGGATGAAACCTTTTTTCTTTGTGCCGTCTCGTCCTTTTTGTCATCTCTCGCCACTTTTACATTTCCAGTTTGTCAGCAACCTCTTACTGTATACATCCACTTTCGCGTTACTTCTCTGTCTCTCATTCTTCCTTTTCTGTCGCTCTCGAATTAAACCTGACATCCATTAGTCTCGGCTTGACAAAGACCAGCACATTTTTGTGAGAGTGACACCCAGTGCCCCAACCTGACAGTGGCACTACCAGCTTTGTCCACCCTCCCTCCCTCTTGTACCCTTCTCATGCCATCAGATATGCAGGGGTGCTCACTCTGGCTCCGGTCCCTTGTGCTTGTTTGTGAAAAGCAGGCCTGACCAGCTCAACACAGTGTGGCCATTCAGAGGGCCTGTTTTTGTTTGGTGGTCTGTTGGGCTTTACAAAACCTTCCACTCAGGCCAGTCTGCAAAACCATTGTGGTCTAATAATACGCTTAGTTTAGTGTTCACGCTCACAGAATATTCAGTAGGTTAGTAGATGGCACCCAGTCAACTCCAAGCACGCAATCCTACAAGTTTTTAAAGTCGCAATCAGGTGGAAGTAGTGACAGATGTTTTCTTTAAATTTTGACATACATCCGAATTAATCGGATTATTGAAAAAAAAGTTGTTGATTGGATAGAGGCCTATCTGAATGCAAGCTTTCAGGGGGTTGTATGAAAAAGGGCGGGTTCATGAGGATAAAATGATCCACCATATGTCACCAGAGAGAAGTCTCTCATTTCACCAGAAGATTAAATGTCAAAATGCTTTTTAAACAATGAATCATATAAACTGATGAATTGTTCAGAATAAGTGCATGTAGAAAATAGATTTCATGGATTTAGAAAAAGCCCATCTCATGCCAACTTTGGTTTGGTATTCACATCTTTGTTGTTATCAGTTTGATGTGTGTGTAAATCCCCTTATTAAAAACCTCCAAAAATTGACCTATTACATAAACAGCGTCAAGTTGGCTCACGTCCTATTTGTAACTGTTTGTGCAGATTTCAGTGGCGGCGGAATGGGAAGTTCTTTAACGTGGGGAAGGACCCGCGGGTGATCATGCGGAGTCGTTCCGGAACACTGGAGATCAGAAGCAGCGGGAAATCGGAAGATTATGAAGGAGAGTACCAGTGCTTCGCCTCCAACGAATTTGGCACGGCGATTTCCAACAAAATCCTACTACGAGTGTCAAGTGAGGGTTATGTCAAAACACAACATGTACACAACATGCACATAATGCAAACTGTCTGTAAAGAAATAGTTTATCCAAAAATGTTTCATCATTCACTTTACATCATGTTGTTATGTTACCTATATGTTATGTTTCTCATATGACTTTCTTTCTTCTGTGGAACACAAAAAGATAAGATTTTGTCATCAAAACAGACAAAAGTATCATAAAAGTTGTTCATGTGACTTACGCTACAGTATCTTCTGAAGTCATATGATAGTACAAAGGTGTTTTAGTGCCACATAAAAAATAAAGAATAATAAAGTCACAATATTTGGAAAATAAAGTCAAAATTATGAGAATAAAGTCATAGCATTGATTAAAGAGAGATTAAAGTTGTAATATTTTGATAATAAAGTCAAAATTACTGATAGCAATACGAGAAAAAAGTATTTGCAAAATGTAATATTTTGAGAATAAAGTTAATATTTCAAGACTTTTGACTCACTTAAAACTCACAATGCAACAACTTCACTCTCGTAATCTTAATTTTAAATAGTGGCTCTAAAATGCTGTCAGATTGAAATTTAAAGAGATAGTTGACCCTAAAATGAAATAATGTCATCATTTAGTCATTGGCATGTTGTTTCAAACCCATATGACTTTCATTGTTCCATGCAACACAAAATAAGATTTTGTCACCAAAAATGACAAAAAAGTATCGGTAAAGTTGTCCATATTACTTGTGCTTTATTTTAAGTAGGAACAGACTGATAAGCCACCTCTCAACCGTAGGTCTCATATTTGATCTGTTTCATCATTTTTTAATTTTACACAACACAGTTTGTTACAAAACATCTGACATTGTAATTTGATATCATTGACATTGAAAATGGCATCATTTGAATTTTCAGTCTGAAATTTTGGTTTGTTCCTCATACAGAATGATTGTATGCTTTTAGAAAACTTGTTATATAGTGTCATATGGACTACTTTTATGATACGTTTATGGAGCTTTATTATAGTTTCGGTTTCCAAAAAAGAAAAGAAGGAAGAAAGTCGTACAGGTTTGGAACAACAGTGACATTTTTGAGTGACTTATCCCTTTAAAAATACCATGCATACAGAATGCATAATTCAGCATGATCTCTCATAGATTGAGTTATGTTATCTTCCCTAATCTGGTAAACTTGTCTCCATTACTCAGAGTCTCCGTTGTGGCCGAAGGAGGTTTTGGAGCCTGTGGTTGTGCGTGAGGGGGAATCACTCGTCCTGCCCTGCAACCCTCCTCCTGGTCTCCCCCCTCCTGAAACCTTCTGGATGGACAGCTGTGAGTGTTGCTCATCACTTTCTACGATTGATTGTGTCTCATTTCTTAACCTTAACCCTCCTCTCCATCGCTTTGGCATTCAGTCATCACCTTCATGCTCTCTTTTACCTCTTTCTCTTATCTCCCTCTCACTTCCCCTTACTTTGTGGTCTGTGTCTGTCCTCTGCACAGAAGTGTCCGTTAGTGCTGAGCTAGTGCATGTATGCGAATCTGCACTACCTGACAAAAAGCTGAGAGAGCAGAAACAAGCATGGCACTGAGACATTTCAACAGACCTAGAATCAGGCAGCATAAACACACGCTACAAAGCACTGATCGCACATATTGACTGTGTTTGTCATTAGTACAGCCACAGACGGCTCTTTTGAAATGTGGCAGTGATAATGAGAAGGCATATATTATGAATCTTAAAGGTGAAGGGGTTTCTAGCTTGAATTCCCACTACTTTCATAGTATGTACACATTTCGATGAAGAACTTCCTTGAACACTCCTTTCCATGTTCATTTGTCAGACAGACAGATAACTCTGCCCAATTTTTCTAGGTTGTATGGAAGCCCATTTCCTCCATATAAGTAAATGATGACGTATAAACCTATCATGATTAAAATTCTATGCTTTTTTTCAAAAATTATTAAAAATAAAACACTAAAAACTCAATTCCTTAACATGCTACAACATTGTAATGTACAGTAATTAAATCATTAGTATTTTTGTCAAATATTAATAATTAAAAATATAATTAAAATAGGGCAAGTGAGCATGCACAAGTACTCTAAATAATACATTTTCAACTGATACAATAAATTTAAAGATCTCTAATATTTCTAATTCCCTATATTTTAACATTGGAAAAACAACTCACTTCACCTTTAAGATACTGTCTTACTGCTTTGCACATGATATTCATATCCATTACTAGAATGTCATGTGATCACAACACTTTAGTCCAAAAAGCCAGAGACATCATTATTAAATCCAGACTCAATGTTGATTAGTGCAGTACATCTCGTTTTCATCTCACACTCTTCCACACTGCTCCTTCACTTGAGTGACAAATTTACTGATCCTTGTGATGTTTCAGGCCAGAAGATGATAATCATGCTTCTGTGATTCCCACACTCATCTTGAGCATCATTTCTTCTGCTGCCTGTCGGCTATTGCACGTCAAATTAAGTTGAACAAATGAGTCTGGATTGTCTTCTCTTTTTCCCCCACAGTCATTATGCCCATACTACAGGACAAGAGGGTGTCGATGGGCTTGAACGGTGACTTATTCTTCTCCAATGTTCTGGCCAAAGATGCCACCACTGACTACAGCTGCACCGCTCGCTTCGAGTTCACACACACCATTCAGCAGAAGAACCCCTACACCCTAAAAGTGCTAACAAGTGAGTGGTGATTTCTTCAGGATCACTTGTTATCTTTAATTTGATGTAACTGATATGTTGCTGTGCTGCTAAGGTATATGTGAATATTGTGGTCCATCTAGTGGTGAGGAGGTAGTATTGCAGTATGTCAGTGGACATTTATCTGTGATACAGTGATAGTTGTCTTATTGCACTTTAATTTGGAGACTCTTCATTTGATTACTATCACAGTTTCGGTAAGAGGTTTGAAGGACTGTCCATCTTCCATTTTGATCCAGAATTGTTCTGTTCTTCCTAGTTGTAATTTAGTGAAGATTTTTTTTCTGTAATTGTATGTTGATTAAACTGCAACTTTATTCACAGAGGAACCTTATAATGACACGTTTCTCAACTCCACTGATCTGTATGGTGGTGAGTTCCACACACAGCTAGCCTGTTATCTGTATGCTTCTGTAAAACAACACTAACTGAATTAGCGCTGCTGTTTCTAACCACATACAGCAGAGGAAAGGCAGAGATAGTGTGTCTGTTATATAATATACAATGTAAACTAAGATGTTCCACATAGTATTTATAGACTGTAGAACTTACCACTCAGTGCTTAGGTTACTTACAGTTTTTTTAATACATGATTCTCTATGCAGTTTTGGGGTAGGCAAAATTCTGTCATAGTTTGAAGGAAAAGTATTCACATTTCAATTGAAATTGCTTTAATTATCCTAATCACATTGCTCATATGGAGATATAGAAATGGAGTCAAGGAGATTAGTCAAGAGGTGCTCATTAATATTTCATCAACTTCAATCCAAATTTCAGCAATGATTACCATGTGCAAATCCTCACATATGTATCCAAGGAAATGGCCTAAGGCTGGAAATGAATATATGAAGAAAATGGGTAAAATTGAAACCTTGTCACAAACAAACCTGGATCATATATTTAACCAAGAAATCAAATGGTTAAAAAAAAAAAAAACTTTTGCATAAATCCCCCAAATAATTGTTTCAGAATTTTTTTTTTTTTTTAAATATGTATATTTTAAAAATGTTTTTATAGGATGATTCTCATTGTATTATGATCAGAATTTTATTTTATTTTCAAATTAATTTTTATTTACCATGATAAATACTATTTATACTATATTATACTATAGCTATTTAATGTTTTTATTATTTAAATTCTAGAATCTTAATCTTTCAATTTGTTGAATGTTAAAAAAAAAAACTACAAAAAATGTAATTAAAAAAAAAAAAAAAAAAATTTAATTAAATTTAATTATATAATTTGTGTGATTGATTGATTGATTTTGGGATTACATATGACCCAGGCATGTTCTTGATGGCTTTTTGAGATAGACCCAAATATCCATATATGACAATATTGTCAGGATCATACAACATAAGTTTTTTAAAGTTATCTTGTCTCTTGAGTCATTCGTATATAGTCTCCACCAGGGCATTGTGTGGTCGCACTGACAGGGAACTGGCACTGCTGTCACCACAGACACACGTGACAGTGGTGTGAAACATGTGTTCCTGGCAGCTTCATAGTCTAATCTCCCAGACGTTGTCCTCCCACTTGATGTCACCAACAAAGGCTGTTGTCACTCCCTCTCCTAGAGCACTGCTGGCAATGCTAATAACTGAGAGCTAATCTTACTGATAGATATGCATTACAATAGGGACTAATACTGCCATGCTCATCAAGTCTTCCTCAGGGAGAAGATTGTCTGTCTTTACATAACCAGGATTTTATGTCTAACCATCTGTCTGTCATCACAGTTATATCTTTTATGCTTTCATGAATAACATAAATATTACAGAAATAATTGGTTAAAAAAGTTTGAGGTCACTAATATTTTTTAAAGAACTAATACTTTTGTTCATTAAGGATGCATCAAATGTGAGAATAAAGACATTTATTAAGTCAAGGCTGTTCTTTTGAACTTTGTATTCATCAAGAATCCTGAAAGATTGAATCACGATTTCCATAAAAATATTAAGCTGCACAACTGGTTTTAACATTGACAATAAGATATATTCCTTGAGCACCAAATCAGCATATTAGAATGATTTATGTAGGATCATGTGACTGAAAAATAATTTTTGACATCAGAGGAATAAGTACAATTTTTAATATTTAAAAATAGAAATCCGTTATTTGAAATTCTAATAATATTTTAAAACTGGTTATATATAACATGTACCCAGTTTACCACTGGTAATGTGACAATTTTTATGTAAAAAAAAAAATAAAAAATAGATATTTCACAAATGATTTATTTCCTTTAGAGAGTTAGAATTAACTCTTTCCTATAGAGTTCATTCTGACTTTGTCTCTCACATTTGCGAATGTATATTGTGTGTGCGTGTATGTGTGTGTGTGTATTTAGAATTAGCAAGTTGTATATAATCCATAACAGTGCAACCAAAATTAGGTTTTTCATAATTTTGTGTACTGTAATTAAGCTCCTAGCTCAAACCATGTGTCTTTCTGTGCATGTTAACAAGTTTCTCTTTTTTTTTTTTCCCACAGCACGTAATGTACCAGAAACCCAGCCTACCTTTCTGTCTCCAAAGGGCTTGTCCAGCTCCAAGATAGTGCTCCGAGGGGAACAGCTTCTTCTGGAGTGTGTAGCAGCTGGAGTGTGAGTGTTATTTTAGTGATATTTATATAATGTTCTCATACTTATTAATATAGAATTAGCTTTTATTTTTATATTTTCAGTTTTCATTTTTCTATGTGCTTTTGTCATTTTCTTAGTTTTTTATATTTCTATTTGGCTTTAATTTATTTTTATTCAGTTTTAGTAATTTTTGTGTTTTCAATTTATTTTAGTTACCGAAAACTATTTTTAATAGTTTTAGTTGTAGTTAAGTCTTCCTGCTGCAGTCACTATTTTATCCCTTAAAACTCATCTTTGATAATCAAAATGACATAATGACAAAATTAAATGTTTTTTCCATGAAAATAATTTCTTTATGTAAGGGCTTCAGTGTATCTCTACAACCTTATCTCATTTAGTATACGCTGTCCTGCAGAGTTTAGCTCCAACCCTAATCAAACACACCTGAACAAGCTAATCAATGTCTTCAGGATTACTAAGGCTATAGGGAGGTGAGTTTTTTTTTTCAAGGTTAGAGCTAAACTCTGCAGGACAGCGGCTCTCTAGGACCGAACTTGCCTACCCCTGATATACGCAGATATAAATATGCTAACTAGTGCCCACCTCCACTCAATCGCACCAGCTCAGCTCCACTTTCACTCCGTTAACTGAAGTAGTAAGTATGAAGTAGTTCTGAATGGATTAGAAATCACACAAAGAGCGCTCCCTTTATAATCACTAAAAAGCTGTCACTCATCTGAAGCACTACAATGACATTTTTCAATTTCAGTTTCACTTTTATTGTTGGAATTTCATCCAAAAATTGTCTTGCATCCCAAAGCATACATCGTCTCACATTCAAAACACACTACACAACACCACACTGTTACAGTTACCTCCCAAATAAACTCCATACAATAATAACAACATATAAATACATAATGAGCTACAATACAAATCACAAGTGAGCACTTCCACATTTCTGGAAACCGTGAGGCCTACTTTCCTCCCCACCTTTGATTATATAATTTGATTCTGTATTACAGATTGATAAAACAACAGCAGGATCTTATTATTTGTTCCAAATGACCTTAGATTCCTCAAGAAATAAACACGTTGCTGTAATTTACAGCAAACACAGTAGGAAAAGGGATGGTTTCAAGCCATGTTTTTAAGACTTAAGTCTTTAGTACGCCATAGTTTTAAGGAGAAAATGCTCAGAAATGGTGTTAACTGATGAATTTGCACATGGTAAACTTCATTTTCACCACAGGGGGTCTTTAACAATAACAACACTGGTGTATACAGCATATTCAGTTACCAAAAGCTCTATATACATCAGTATTAGTATTAGTTCTTAGATTTCTCAAATTATAATTAAGTGATGTTGTGTTCTTTTTTATCTGTTTTTTTTTTTCATCTTTCATTTTTCCAGCCCAACTCCTACCATTGATTGGTTTAAAAGAGGAGCAGACCTCCCGTCCAAAAAAGTCAAGATCGAGAATTTCGGTAAAACTTTACGCATCTTCAATGTGTCCGAGGAGGACTCTGGCGACTACACCTGCATGGCCAGCAACAAGATCGGCAGTATTCGCCATTCCGTTGAAGTCCAGGTCAAAGGTGAGCCGTAGAGAAAAGACAAATGATGCGTCTTGTTCATGAGATACATGCTGTTTCTTTTATTCTAATTTTAAGATTTCTTTATTGCCCTGTACAGCTGCTCCCTATTGGCTAGATAAGCCCACCAATCTGGTGCTTGCCCCTGATGAGAATGGACGATTAGTTTGTCGTGCCAGAGGGAACCCTAAACCCACTATCCAATGGCTGGTGAATGGAGAACCTATCGAAAGTGAGTACTGAAACTGAGAACTGTTGCTTTTCTGACTTTAAAGGGGTCATATGACGTTGCTAAAAAGAACATTATTTTGTGTATTTGGTGTAATGCAATGTGTTTATGGGGTTTAAGGTTCAAAAAACTCATTATTTTCTACATACTGTACATTATTGTTTCTCCTCTATGCCCCGCCTTTCTGAAACGCCTTTCGATTTTTACAAAGCTCATCGGTCTGAAAAAGCGCGGCACAGTGATGTAGACATGTGGGGGCGTGTTTAAACAAGACGTTTTAGGAGGGCGTGGACGAGTCTTAACTTTTGTGAAGAATATCTCTTTGGGTTTGAGATTTTAGTCTTTGCAACTTTAGGGATCTTATCTATGCACAAACAGCTTGTAACACTCCAAAGAGAAAGGAAAACTTGAAATTGCATCATATGACCCCTTTAACAGACTTCATCATAACACAAAGGAGTTTGTTTTTGAGGATGATTTTTCTGCTCTTTGTGTAACTTCAGGTTCACTGCCAAACCCGAACCAGCAAGTTCTTGGTGACACCATCCTGTTCCATTCAGTCCAGATCGGCAGCAGCGCTGTTTACCAATGTAACGCCTCCAATGAGCATGGTTATCTACTGGCCAATGCTTTTGTCAACATCCTGGGTAAGAATTAGAAACGATAAAGAGTCAGCCATTCGAAATATTCAGAGAGGTCACAAGATTGTGATATGTTAGTGTTGTTTTCTTCCTAGACATGGCACCACGGATGCTAGGTCCAAAGAACCAGCTGATTAAAGTCATTGAAAACAACAAGACCTTCCTTGACTGCCCTTTCTTTGGCTCACCGTTCCCTTTACTGCGCTGGTGAGCTTTTGTTTCATTGTTTGAAAAGATACACTGACGTTCAAAAATTCAAAAAATACAGTAAACGTAGTATTATGAAAAATTATTACAGTTTCAAATAACTGTTTTCCGAGTTGTTTTTTCAAATAACTCAGTTTTCAGCAGCCATTACTCCAGTGATTCTTCAGAAATAATATGCTGATTTGCTGCTCAAGAAACATTTCTTATTATCGATGTTGAAAACATCTGTAAAACAGCTTTATATTTTTGTGGAAACTGACATTTTTCGTTGTCTTCACTGTCACGTTTGATTAATTTAATGCATCTTTACTGAAAAATATTAATTTCTTAAAAATAAAAAAAGCTTACTGATCCCAAACTTTTGGGTTTTAGAATACAAATGACATGAATATACTGTACGTGTGTGTTTAGGTTTAAGAATGGTCTAGGCAGTGGTCTGGATGGTGGTCAGTACAAGCTGTACCACAACGGTACTTTGGAGATTAAACAAGCCCGGCCAGAAGACCAAGGCACCTACACTTGTGTTGCCAGTAACATTCTGGGCAAGATGGAGAATCAGGTGCGCCTGGAGGTTAAAGGTGAGACCAGAAGCATTAATCACTAAATCTGTCTTGATTTACTTGTATATTCACACGCTAACTTTTGAATCTTTTGAAGAAAACACATTTCATTATTGTTCATTAATGCCTTGATTTACTCTCTGTGTTGTGCTTCATTTCAGAGCCCACAAGAATAGTGCGGGCACCTGAACATGTCACACAACCCAAAGGAAGCACGGTCCGCTTTCATTGTCGAGTTAAACATGATACTTCTCTTCCTGCTACGGTCACATGGCTAAAAGATGACAAGCCTCTAAGCTTTAGCTGGATGTAATGTCATGTAACAATACCTATACAATATAATCATAATTAGATTGTGCACTATTTTTCACTGTTATATACCAAATTTACTTTCTGTAGTACTTCTTTTGAATTCAAAGATTGTTCAAAGATTTTTTTTTTTAAGATTTTTTTTTTTTTTTTAAAGAAGTGTCTTATGCTCACCAAGGCTTCATTTATTTGATACAAAAATATTATTACAATTTAAAAGAGCTGTTTTCAATTTTAATATATATATATTTTAAAATGTAATTTATTTCAAATGTAATTTATTGATGATCCTTCAGAAATTATTATAATATGCCTAATATTTTGTGGAAAATGTGATCATTTTTTTCAGGATTCTTTGATGAATAGAAAGTCCAAAAGAATAGCATTTATTTGTAATATTTTTTGTGACAATCTAAAAGTCTTTATTGTCACTTTTGTGTAATTTAATGCTCCCTTGCTAAATGAAAGTATTAATTTCTTTAAAAAAAAAAAAAAAGCTTTTTGAACGGTAGTGTGTGTCCTGTACTTGACGTCTAATTTCTGTATGTTTTAGTGGCCGGTTCAGAAAGGATGAGGAGTCCTTGACTATTCACAATGTCAATCCAGAAGATGGAGGAACCTACACATGCACTGCCAAAACTGAAATAGATGAGGACTCTGCCTCAGCTCGCCTTACAGTTACAGGTACGCACACATTCACATACAGCATACAATAGATGTAGCTCTTCCTTTATGCACCTTTTTTATGTTGCTAACATATTTTATAATAGATACTAAGCGGATATGGACATGTGGGACAGTCACATGTCACATATCCAGAGGATAATAAACTGCCCTAAACTTTTTTTTTTGTACTTTTATAACTTTTAGAACTGTCGCTCTTAAAAATAACACCACAGCACTTCCCTTTATGAAAAATATAGCATGTTTTCTTAATAGTTTGCTTGAATATTACTACTGTTGTGCTTCCTTTTAGCTATAGTTGTTTGTCTTTTATTATATTTATCTACTAATAGCCACACTAACCCTTGACCTCTGACCTTTGACCTTTACCTCATAGAGGATGACATCTCATCTGCCTCAAATCGTAGTGCCTCTGCAGGTATTATTTCTAATGTCCAATTAAAGCCTCTAACAATCAATCTCTGTTTTTAATTCTTACTCTCAACTTCTGAGAATAATTAGTACTCTAATAAGTTAACATGGTTAATTAGTATGTTGTTCTCTTCCAGGTCGACCCGACCCCCCTCAGGATCTTGAGCTCTCGGACCCCTCAGCACGTAGTGTTAGACTCACCTGGGTGCCTGGGAATGAAAACAACAGTCCTGTTACACGTGAGTTTAGAGTATAGGGTCTCAAGTCACTGATCAGTCAAGTAAATATGACCTATAAAAAAACAACAACCGGTGTAATGATGTAATCCTCAAAAGAAATGACAATAAGTCAACAAGTCTTTTGAATTTTACCTCAATCAAAAGATCATTTTATATTTAACGTCATGCACTTTTGAGTTTCCTTATCTGTGTAGGACTGATATCTCTACCTCTTCCTTTTTATTGACCAATACCGGAAATGTATACTTTAAAACTCTTTTTTTAACAGATATTGCAATTTTCCCACTCTGACTTCTTGCGTTACTACAGATTTCCTCGTCCAGTTTGAAGAGGACAGGTGGGAGCCGGGGAAGTGGCAGAACCTGTCTATATTTGATGGCAACCTAAACTCAGTTAACCTGCAACTGTCACCATTTGTCAACTACCAGTTCAGAGTGATTGCAATCAATGCTGTGGGCCAGAGTCAACCCAGCCTCCCCTCTGCACGCTATCAGACCAGCGGAGCCCGTAAGAGATCAGCTATATCCATAAGCCCTGACAGAAATGTGTTAGAAAATGTGTTTAAACAGTCATTTAGTTACGTATAATGATTTGTTTCAGATCCTGATGTTGTGCCGAGTGGTCTTAAAGGCTGGGGAAGCAAGAAGAACAACATGGAGATCACATGGCAGGTAAAATGAACCAGGTTTATTGAAATACCTCGATAAAGCAGACAGATGTGACAGTTAGTGACCTAATCTATCTGTACATTTCACAGGCACTTAAGAACACAGAAAGGAACGGGCCAAACCTGCGATATGTAGTCTCATGGAGAAGGAAAGACATTGAGGAAGAGTGGGATAACATAACCACAACCAGAACAAAGCACATTATGCATAATACAGACACTTATGTCCCGTATGAGATCAAAATACAGGCTGTCAATGACTTTGGACACAGCCCAGAGTCAAACATAGTCATTGGTTATTCTGGGGAAGACAGTGAGTACTAACATTTCATATTTAATGACACTTTTTTAAACATCTTTTCTGGTTTGTTTTGTACTCATACTATTTTTCCCATCAGAACCATCTGCTGCACCAACAGAACTCAGGGTGTCGAAGATCAACAGCACCAAAGTAAATATTCACTGGGTGCATGTGGACCCCAGCACTGTGAACGGAGAGTTTAAAGACTACAAGGTGAGTGACCAAACATCTGCCTGACATGCTCTAAAATTACTTATTTGCCACCATTGCTAATTCAATATTCATATCATGCCTGCCTGCCTATCTCTTGCCCTGCTCTGTCTCTGACTCTGTTGCAGCCTCTGTCTTGTCTTTCTCTCAAATTCTGTCTGTCTACTTTAAATATGTAACAGTGCAGCTGAGTACTTAAACTCAAGGCCACACTTGAGATTCCTACACTGAAAAAAAGTACATTTCACAAATAATTGAAAAGAATCGGCAAGTAACACTTTAAATTAAACCTGAAATTTTGAAGTATACAGAGTGAAACAGTATTAAATGTACTCAAATAGTATTTGTTTTGTTTACCGCTTCGGAAAAAAATTAATTACAGTGTAGCCAAACACAAATAACTCACATACTGTATTTATTTAAACAGTTTTACCAACAGTTACAAGCACCAAATGGATTTCTTTCTTTCTTTCTTTCTTTCTTTCTTTTTTAGTGGCCTGACTGGACTTTTAAGATATTTTTTAAGATACTTAAGAAGCAAATGGCATAAGATACTTTCGAACACAAGAAGTTTTCAGAAGTTTGAGTTATATTTAATTGATAACAATTTATTTATTATAAATTTATTATAATTGATTTAATCATTAATTTTAAATAATTATTTTATATCTGAAATAATTAAATAAATTGTGCCAAAATTGTGTACAAAAATTGTCTTATACATATTTGCTTCGCAGGTCAGTTTATATTTTTTAAGGTAATTTTTACTGGGGAAAAATACTGAGGGGAATATTTGAAAGTTGTTTGAAAAGAGGATTTTTAAAATTATTATTATTTTAATTCTAATTTTAGTTGGTACCTCTAGGTTTTGCGTTAGGGGAAGGGAAGTTAATGTTCAGATGATAGAAGACAAAAATCAAATAATGTATGGACATCTGTGAAGAGAATGCTGTTACAGAAGTGAATCACTATGGCAAGCCAATTTAACGGTTGTTTATGTAGTTTATACCAGTTTCTCAAAAATGTTTAAACTGTTCACTAGTTAAATGCTTTGGATGAAAATTGCATCCATTGACCAATGCGCTTTGTGTTGATAGCACTGAAATCTCAATCTTCTCTTTCTCTTTCTCTGGTTGAAATAAAGGGCATATTGTTATGAATAGGCCTACTGAATTAATATAATTTTGTACTGGAGGATAGCAGTTATATCATAGGCCCATTGAATTGTACAGTACCTGTCGAACCATTAGCTATTTTCTTAATGTTATTAAAATAACTTTTTTTAGATTTAACACAGGTTGCAAATAGTCAGAGAGGAAGCAGTTTGTGTGTTATTTGTGTAAATGGCTACTTTCATTTGCCAGCTGCTCTTTCAAAGTGGATGCAGATACTTATGATTAATACACCAAAATGCCAAATTTATCAGTATTTTCATAGTTAATGCTGTTACCATGCAAGGCTAAGCTTTACAAAAGTGGCAGACGTTTTCTCCTTTCAATCATGCAAATTATGCTGTGTAAAGCTTACAATAAAAAATAGCCTGTGTTAAAATGAAATTCAATTATGAAACAGTACTAATGGAGTGATGATATTTGGCTGTGAATCCATCCATGACAAAAATAGCATAATAGTAAAAAATAATAAGTGTATTAGCAAAGTAATTATGAGCTGTTTTCTAATGTGTCTCCAGCAACTCCTCCAAAGTTGTTGTTTATGTGTAGCTAGTGCATGTGCAGGTCAAATGCCAAGTAATGATAAATGGAAGCTAGTATTTGGTAAGGCAAAGCTGCAGAATAGTGAGTGTTGTGCTGCTTAATTATTAAAAAGAGTAAATGTTAAATCAGCTCGCCATTAGTCACAAACTGTTGCTTTTGCAATGCACGCGCCGCTTCTGCTTGTGCCACGTTCATATTTTTTATTTTTATTTTTTTATTTTGTGTCAGATGGAGACATACAGGTAAGAGTGCTCTAAGTTATGGCTGATTGGCTGTGTTGATCTAAAACCACACCCCTGTGAAAAAGACTCACATGTCTTGGTCTGGCAAACCTTGATGTCACCAAGGGCTCCAGGGCTCTCTGACACTCTGTCTGGTTTAAACTTTGCCAGCATATTATGGATTGCTCTCATGTTTTAGTTTTGCCTGTCAAGTTGAGTTTGGAAACTGCTTATACAGTTTTTGTTATGGAGTTAATGGTACTCAAAGCACTGTTGTTTCCAAGGTAAAAGCTTAAAAAAGATGTACAATATTGAATATTTTTCATTATGAATCTCTATCTTCCATGATAATGATTCTATGCCATGTGTTGTCTAATGGATTTCCACACATCTTCTCTTTTTGTATTGACAGCTCTGCAAGTTTGTTTGTTAAATCCCAGTAGATATGATTTTCTATTTTTAGTTGTTTCAAAATGCCAATAGATCTGAGAATACTGTAGCATTTTGCAGAGTGTTGCACAGCTTATACACAGTGGTTTGTAGTGACACTGTTTTTCCCCTTGGTGGTGCACAACAATCAATTTTTTTGATACCCTCTATGCAACCTCTTCATTATTCCTCAGCGGCATGATATGTGCCGACATTCATGCTCACAAATATCACAAAGTTGTGAGCGTGAATATTTCATGTATATTTCAAAAAATATTTGAGCAGTAATACAAGCTAAACAAACAATGCAAGCATTACAAAATATTGGCATCTTAAAGCAGCACTATGTAACTTTTTCTGTGTTCAAAATTTGCTAAATGTATATAATGAGCGAGTACATCATGAATTGATCTTCCAAACCGCGTTTTTGTCTTATTCCGAATCACTACGGTACACTAATAAGTACATATATTTGGACTATTGTAGCCTGGTCGGGTCGTCACCGCTGCGGAGTAACACATACCTGCGTGAATCGCCATAGATCCGGTTGGAATGTTCTTCCGCGGGATGTGTGCAGTTCTGTTTATTAACCGCTAGAGCGCCAAAAGTTACATAGTGCTGCTTTAAAGATGCAAATATTCTTCAAGGCATGACATAATTTCTGGTCATACTTAAGCATGGTATTTAGGTGTCTGTCATGACCCAGGAAATTGAATTATTATACATATATACTATATACACTACCATTGAAAGATTTTGGGACAGTACGATTTTTTTTTTATGGTTTTGAAAAGTCTTGCTTGCAAAGGCTGCTATTACATTTTAAAATATCTGTTTTCTATTTTAATATATTTTACTTCAGTCTTCAGTGTTTTATTTGGTGCTTATTTTTTATAAATCTTAACATTGTAAATGTTGTTACTGTCACTTTTAATACATTTAATGCATCCATGCTTAATAAAAGTATCAATTGCTTTAAAAAAAAAACTACTCCCTGAACATTTGACTGGTAGTGTGTAGATATATGTATACATGCGTACATACATATACACACACACACATACATACATATACACACAAACACATTCAAATACAATATTACAAAACAGAAGAAACGTTGTTTTCACATAGTTAATTCACAGTTTGTAGATTACAGTAGATAATAATATAAGTAGCAGATAGAATACAGTAGATAATATGCAGTATGCCAGTATTCCATTCGGAACATAGCCACTGTCTTTCACTGAATAAGTTTTGGAAAAAGGGAACTGTGGGAATTCCATTTAATTAACTCTTTTCTGTGTTTTCTCGCTTCTCTTTGTCACTCTTGTGCTTAACCCTGGAACCTCCACCTAAACTTCTCTTTGTTCTTCCTCTCAGCCGTTAACTTTACAGATGGCTTGATGTTTGAAACTCCTCCTCCTCCCCCTCCCCTCTCTACTGACCCAGTCCCAACAATACTTACCCCAGAACCAGCCACACCAGCCCCTACAACTGCTGCTCCGCCCAAACCTACAACCACTACCACTACTACTACTACTACAACTACTACTACCACCACTACTACAACAGCTTCCACCACGGTTCTTCCTGTTCGGCCCATGTCTCCTAAAACAGTGGATTGGAAAATGCTGGGTATCTGATAATGATGCAGTGTGCATTGGCAACGCCCACAGTATAGATTAATTAGATCAAATCAGTGTGTCTTCTTGTTTAGATGACATTTATTATGTATGACTGACTCGGTTAGCAGACCATTTAGGACAGGGCATGATTGATGTTCGCCCTGTTCCCTCATGGACACTTAGATTATGCAGAATTAGTATTGACATTTGCTTTACAAATAGTTTAGTTGCATTATAAAATTAAATGCATGATGTTGCTCACTAAACTATGAGATATTTAGAAGAAAAGGTTAGAAATGAAATCACACATGCTAGCATATATTGCTAACATTTTCTGGCTAATGTATTCAGCTGTTTTAAAGACCCCATGAAAGTTTTCTTTCTTGTGTTGACATTTATAGTGACAGTATTTACAGGTGGTAAATAGCTAAACGCTAAATACAGCTATGTTTTTAATAGCTAATAAGCTTAAACTAATGTCTGCTATGAACTATGAAAACTATGTTCGAAAAAAGTTCGAAATGCAACAATATACCATTTTCGTACATTCTGACACCACCCATGCTGCTGGAAGTGGTGTTTAGATGAATATTCAAATATGTGCCGCATGCTACAATCTCAATAACATAAACACCCAACAAAAAATGACAACGGTGAGAGAAGAGGAGCTGGAAGCCTCAGTTCGAAAGTATTTACCAGCTGGCACAAACTTTTCCGAAAAGTTCACTTTGGTGAGTTGTTTCAAACTACCGAAAAAACTCCAAACGAACTTTGTTTTGACCAGTTTTAGTTCGAAAAAGTTCGAAAAAATGTCACCAGTTTGTTCTTTGATTTTGCTTGATGTTTATTGAGGCCTTAAGAGTAAGGTCACATTTACCTTTATATGGCAAAAATCTGTGGGTTTGTACACAAGAATTTGCAACATTTACCAATAAAAAACGTTCAAAGTTTTAGTGGTGCTTAATGCATCACTTAATGCATATATTGATACATGCTTAATGCATATATTGATAATGGACAGGAAGTTTTGCTAATGTGAACGTGAAGGAAATGTTTTCATTCTAAAGAAAATTTTATTACACAAAAATTTAAATATGCCACAAAGTGCAGGATGATAGCCATATTTTTGGTCTAGTCTCCACAGAGGATGGTATGTACCTGCTAAACATTTTGTTAACTATACAAGCAAATAGAGGACCTAACCTCAAAGCTAAGTAATCTATATTAACTAAAAGATACAAAAGTCAAATTTAAGTTTCATGGGGTCTTTAAGTTTAAGTATGTGTAACCTAACCAGTGTCTGTATCAGAAAATATTTAAGTGTACTCCTCTCCCACCTGTTCTGCATAGCCCCGAATGTAAAAATCTGGAATCTGACCGTGGATGCTAACAATGACTATGCTAACGTCAGCTGGAAGCACAACTTCTCCGTTGACAGCAGCGAGTTTGTGCTAGAGTTCACACTGGACAGTAAGAGCCAGATGCACCTATCGAGAGCTTATAAAGGGACACTAGATTTTACTGGGCCTGCTGGAGACCCAAATCATACTCTCGTAATGTTTAATTGGGCCTCATTTATATGGCAAATTTACAGAACATCACAGTAAACATTACAGGGAGCTCAGATTTATTTGAAAGGGAGGTATTGTAAATGTTGTTTGAATTGTTCAGCATTTAGGATGTCTCCCTGCTGTGATCCTCTGTAATGTTCTTTTTCCACTGTATTTGTTTAGCTTGTTAACTTAAAATGTGTTTTAACACCAAACTGAGGCAGTCCCCCAGCATGTTACTCAATAATATCATATCTACTTGCAATACTGCGTTCTGCTTTGTGTCATCAGCAGTCATGCATGTCCCCTTTAGAAAGCTCTTTTTCTCACTGGTGGCTAAGAACAGGGAGAGATTTGACTAAATCTATGAGGGGGAGAGACACCTTGAGACTGGAAAAAAAAGAGATGACCAAGACCTGCTCTAATTGGGCTACAGAGAATTTTGGTCAGCAAATAGTGACTTTGAGGCACCCAGCAGTCCACTCTTATTATATAAAGTACTGCACTCACTTAAACATTTTAGAAGTTTTGTCTTGTTTTTTACAAGTAAAAATATATAAACATTTTAGGTGTGAATGTATGTGAGTATTAAACAATATAAGATTTGTTTTCAGAAAACATGCTGCAAAAAAATATAATTTGTTTAGCTTTTTAGCTTAAAATGAATGTGTGTGTGTATATAGATAGATAGATAGATAGATAGATATTAAATAATGTAAATATTTTCTTCTTGTTTTAATCTTGAACCTTATTAACTCAATCTGTGTTGAAACGCTATGGGAACGAGAATGCCCACTCCGCCATGCTTAAAAATCCCTGCCTAGTGTCACAACTAGTATAAGAAAACAGAGGAGCCAGGAGTGGTTCCCATGTCAATGTTGTAAAACCTGACAAACATGAGTGTAGAAGACCAGCCCGCAGCATTACAGATATCTGTATCGACACCCCAGAGAGAAAGGCCTTGGAGGCTGCCACACTTCTCGTAGAGTGGGCTCTGACCCCCGAAGGTGAAGGGATGGCAGAGGACTCCTAATCAAAAGATATCACATCCACAATCCACCGTCTTAAGGTCTGCTTGGTCACCGGAAGACCTCTTGGGCGGACCAAAGCAAACGAATAACTGGTCAAACTTCCCGCACAGGGCAGCTCTGTGGACATAAGCATCCAGTGCAAACCAGATTAAGCTTCTTAAAGGGAGGAGGACAGAAGGCCTGCAGCACAATGGGCTGTGGAACTATGGTGGGCACGTTAGGCACATACCCTGCTCTAGGGTATAAGAATGCTTTAGCCATACCAGGAGCAAACTCCAGAAATGAAGGGGCCACAGAAAGAGCCTGAAGGTCACCGATACTCTTGAGAGAAGAGACAGCCAGTAAGAAAATAGTTTTAACTGTGAGGAACCTCTCTGTTTAAATCAAACAGAGAACTTCCAGGACGATGGCCAAATCCCAGGACGGGACTCTAGAGCGCAAAGTAGGCCTCAGCCTCAAGGCACCATGGAGGAAACTTGTAACCAATGGGTTCCTCCCCAATGACTGGCCACCCAGAGGGGTGTGGTAAGCAACCATAGTCACCACGAACACCTTCAGGATGGAGTGGGCTAACCCTGTGGAAAATTGTTCCTGCAGGAACTACAGCACTGAACCAACTGGGCAGTTGACTGGGTCCAGCTGACAGATATCACTCACAGAAGTGTAAAGGTTCCACTTCAAGGAGTACAAATTCCTCGTGGAGGGAGCTCTGGATTGGAGAATAGTCTCAACAACCTCACTTGAGAGACCGGAAGCTATGATTTGGCTTCAGGGGCCACACCCACAGTTTATCTCCGGGGGTGAAGATTTGAGCTCCCCACCTGAGATGGGAGGTCCCTCCTGACGGGAATCTCCCAAGGAGAGCCATTGAGAAGGGCCACCATGTCCGAGAACCATATTCGGCCCGGCCAGAACGTAGCTACTTGCAGCATATGAACCCCGTCCCGGCGCACTCTCTCCAGAACTCCCGGGAGCAGAGCAATAGGGGGAAAAGCGTACCGACGCATCCTCGGCCATGTCTGTACCATAGCATCCAGTCCCAGAGGAGCTGGATGTGTGAGAGAGAATCAGAGTGTACAATGTGAGGTCTCTCAAGATGCAAACAAGTCCACTTGGGCCTGGCCGAACACCGGGACTCAACCCCTGCTTCGACTGGATGTGTGTGATTGAGGTGCCCAGGGATGTAAACTGCTCTCAGGGAGAGACCACCGACATGTTGTCTGTTCGGACTAGCACATGATGGCCTCTCAGGTCTGGGAGAAAGTGTCTCAGTGCACGAAACATGGCCAGCATCTCCAGGCAGTTGATGTGCCACAAGAGATGTCGGTCTTCTCACAGACCCTGAGCTGAGCAACCACTCATGATCACTCCCCAGCCTGTGAGGGATGCATCTGTCGTAAGCATTACGCAATGACATGAAGCTCCCAGCACAGGACCCTGGGAAAGGAACCAAGGATTCCTCCACAAATCCAAGGCCCAAAGGCATTGCCGCGTGATCTTGATAGTGCGGAGCAGGTTGCCGCACGGCGAAAACCCCTTGGTTCTGAGCCACCACTGCAGGGGTCTCATGTACAGCAGGCCAAAAAGAATCATGTTGGATGCAGCTGCCATCAGACCCAACAGTCTCTGAAACTGTTTGACAATAAGTGACTGGCTTAGCTTCACCCTCTTCATGGCTGCAAGGATCAACTCAATCCAAGCAGGAGACAGATGTGCCTGCATCGTGGTTGAATCCCATACCACACCCAGATAAGTGATTCTCTGTACTGGAGAAAGCACACTTTTCTTGGCATTCAGCCATAACCCCAACTCTTTCATATGGGTGAAGAAGACATCTCGATGCCGAACCGCCATCTGCTAATATTGAGCTAATAGCAATCAAGATTGAGCTAATATCAATCAAGTCAAGAGGCGACGCTCCGTTTCTGAGCCTCTCAATATGAGGAGCTGCAAGACAGTTGGGGCTACTCCCGCCCAGCAGCCCCAAGGACCTGAGAACAGCGAAGGAGGAACCGCTGGAATGCCGCCGACTGCTTCTTAGCTTCCTGTAACTTGTCAACAACATCATTGACTGTGTCGCTGAACAGGCCAGTAGGCGCAAGCAGGGCATCCAGCAGGAAGAACCTGTCCTTTTCTTTGATTTTGGACAGGTTCAACCAGAGATGCCTCTCCATAGCCACAAATGGCTGCCATAGACCGGCCAATAGCTCTGGCGGTCTCTTTGGTGGCCCAGAGAGACAAATCTGCAGTCCGATGAAGCTCTTTAATGTCGTTGGACCTGACCTCCTCACCCTCATCAAGATCCTTTAGCAGGTCGGCTTGGTAAGCCTGCAATCAGGGCTGAAGATGCGGGCTGAAAACGGTTTCCCCCATGATCTAGACACCTCAGTGTGCAGATCGGGAAAAAAACAAGGCCCCAGCTGGAGGTAGTGGCCTAGAACGCAAGAAACGATTGTCCAGCTTACTCTTAGGACGATCGTACTTCTTCTCGGCAGGCTAATCGATCTTAAGCTTGGCCACCACCCTTGTCACTACCTCCAGCAGCTTCTCGTACTGGATGGACTGAGGTGGCGAGTCCTCAGCCTCATCTTGTTCGATGCCCACCACATCACCCTCCTCGGAAGGTGGAGCATCAAGCTCTCTCCATGGGGGGAAGAAACTGCAGAGTGTGCTTCCGATCCCTTAGAGAGAGTGCTAGATCTGGAGGGTGAGGGCGAAGAAAGGGACAGGCCCATCTCCAACCCCTCCAACAGATTAATTTGCAATCCCCATGACCGCAGCCACCGCTCTGCCTCGGCAGAAGCGGAACCCAAGCCGTAAAGAAAGCTTGTCAGAGCTCCCTCCTTGAAGAGCGCCTGTTGGGAGCCGAGCATGTGCAGTGAGAGTCGCTCACAATGCGGACAGTGAGCCCCCTCGAGAGCTGACTGAGCGTGCTCCACTCCCAATCAAACAAAGCAAAGATCATAAGTATCCCCACCCGTAATGAAGCACGGGCAGGGAGGCTTTCTCACACTCACCATAACCAAGTTGTGCACTGGCACAAACACACACACACACACGTTTCTCAGACAAACGGAGACACAAAACGCTTACTGAAGAAGCAGAAGCTAACACTGTTTACACCAGACATGCTGTTAAGCTTCCTGGTTGCTACGTCATCCCGCCTATGACGTCTCGCCATTCCATTGGATGGATTTCACACGTGCTTCAGAGTGTGGTCACGCAGAGGCGTTCCCATAGCGTTTTGACGCAGCTCGAGTTCCTGAAGGAGAGCAACACATTATATTATTAAGCTCATACAATATATAATAATAATAATAAAGGTAGGATTCTATTATTAATGGGATTTTAAAAGGATTTTTTTCCCCTTTTATTATTTTTTACTTGAAACCAGGACAAAAATACAGATTTTTTTATTTTTTCCCCCAGTGCCTATAGCATTTTAATTATTTTTAATTACACAGATGAATTCCTACAACTGTGTTCTGTTGTGCCTGTGCATGTTAAACTGGTCACAGCATGGAAAACGTACATGCAATACATAACTAGTGTTTGACTAATGTATATTCCTCTACCAAAGTCTCTCTCTCTCACTCATTTTCTTGCTCTCTCTCACTTGCTCCTTCGTCCTTGAGCTATCTGTCCAGCTCATCAGATGCTCACTCCACCCTTACCTTAGCCATTGGCTTCCCAGCAGCACTCGTTGTCTGGCTGCCCACAGCTGCTTGGCTTAATGTTCATATTGGCCACCATTGCCCCATCCCATGATTGGATTATACCAGCAAGCCTGCCATATCTGATTGATACCCCTTGGGCTTTGTTTTTTGTTTTTTTCTTTTCTTTTCTTTGGTAGAAACATTTCAGAGAAAGATAATGATGAGGTGAATGTTTCCTACAAGGTTTCCTCAAGGGGAGAGTCAGAGTAACATATTTAATCTTGAAACATGTTGTACAGTACATCCTGATGCAATACCCCACCAAGCAGGTGAAAATGTAGCTGTAGGGATCTGGATTTCATCCAAGAGTTGCATCAAGACTGTGGACTCATTTGTTTTACACTAAGGAGTACTGCATTATTATTGGATTAAATTATATCAGGACCAATACAGGACCCACACACATTCTCTAAAAGTACTTCCCATGTAAACTCACTATATCATTATATAGCAGTCCCTCTTCCTTCTCCTTCTTCCTTCTCCCTCTTCCTCATCCTGTCACCATGTCCTGTCAAGATTGTGGCGGCTGCATGCATTCTGTGTGAGGCATGGTGTGTGACAATGTTTTACTAGATGTAGAAGATCCTCAGCCCATATGGGATGTTTTGTTTGATCTTAAAGCAGGACATTGTGACATTTGAAGAGTTATCCGCCCATTTTGTACATGTAATATGGGAATAAATAAAATGTTAAAAAAAATGTTAAAAATTTTTTGCACATGCACATTGATCCTGATGGAGAGGTAGAGAATTATATGGCTTTGGAAGGCAATCAGCACATTTATCAAGCTATTAAAGAACTAGATATATACATTTTCCTAAAGGAAATATCAGTGCTTGCAAGGCCACAAACAATAGTGTTAAAAAGGCATGCAAGATATAATGTTTCTATATCAGCTATCACCTAATAGTAACCTGATATTGGGTATTTAATTGTTCATACTTAATTCTCTATTTTTACAATACCTTTGTCATCATCTAACACTCACTTATATATAACTACATTTAGACCGCTTAACTTAGTCATTGCTATCAGGATGTGAAGAGACTTTCAACCAACATAACAAAAAAATTTTTGAACCAAATCAACTACCCTGCCTTTAAAGCTTTTGAGTTTTTTGAATGTACGAATAAATGGCAATTGTCTAAAAGGGATAAATAGCTCATAACATCAGCTTGTAGCTCTTGTAGCACTTTCAGGCACTATAATTGAATTTTGACATGCATATAGTATGATCCAATGGCTGCTTGCTTCAAGTGCTGTTGTATATGATCACATTTTGATATGCAGGTATCTGCATCAAACTCATGCCAACCCATGAGTTGCACAGTGCATGATGATTTCATTTAGGTTGCTTATGAACATCATGGAACCTCATTGCAACATCATGCCCACCTTTTGACAGTGCCATTGGGATTTGTCTCTCCACTTCTCGGCTTCCTCAGCGATGAGATGAGGTCTATGGGTAATTGAGACAAGGTGCACCTCCCTCCACTCTAGACCGGAGTTCATTATAGCAAATCCAGTGTGAGATATTAAGTGGCAACTTCACATCAAAGCTTTTCACTGAAGCAAATGATGCCCCTAATACACCAATGCCAGACTTTGATGTGTGCTGAGCGAAGATATTCCAGTATTTTCGCTCCCAGCATGCCTAAAATATTATTTTCATACAATCTCACTTAAGAATTATCGCACCGAGCAGAGAATAATCTCAAATATAGAGTGGATAGGGATGCAGCACATTTCCTCAATTAACAACCATGACCTGCTATCTTAGTTTTGGTCAGTTTAGCTTGATGGGCTCGGTTTGATGGGCACCTCTCTTGTGTCTCCTCCTGAAGGTAATGGGTCGATGAAAAGCATACAAGTAAACCACCAGCCTCCCATTAAACTGGCTGGGCTGGTGGCCGGGGCCAAGTATCGGTTGCGGGTGTATTCCCATGAGCATAACTCCATCAGCAGCGACTATGTCACGTTCGAGACAGGCAGAGGTAGGAGTGGCCAAGACACAAGGGAGAAAGAAAGGGTTCAACATGTGACCTCGACCTACAGCAAACTGTATTTTGTCATATTTACAAATGAGTAACTGTCACTGGTAACTGGTAAAGCATTGTGCTAGCAACGCCAAGGGCATGGGTTAATTTCCCAGAGAACAAAAATTATTTTGTGAATTTGTCATTGAAGATCATTTCTCAAAGCTTCAGATGCATTAGCAATCTTATTTTTCCAGTAGGATGCATACTGTATGTGCCTCAGGTGGTGCGAGCAAGATAAAATCTCACGGCATTTTGTGTAAGAGCACACTCAATAAGATATTGATCCTCATGATGAAAAGAGTCCTTGAGCCGTGTAAATGCCATTTTAGGTGGGATGTTTGTTCTGTTTTTCAGGTATAGAATATTGAGCTCATAATCTTCTCTCTCACTGATAGATCCCTCTGTGATTTTTCACATAAAAATACCATTATATTATATTATATTATATTTTTGTATTTATTTTATTGAAATTAAGTGTTTGACAAGCACATAAGATGCAATGTTCAAAAGTTTGGGTACAGTAAAAAAAGGTTTAAAGAAATTAATAGTTTTAATCAGCAAGGATGCAATAAATTGTTCAATCAGGATAGTAAAGACATTTAAATTTATATTTATATTTATAACTTATATTTATAATTTACAGAAGACTTCTATTTTAAATAAGTCTATTTATCACAGAATCACGAAAAATATGTATCACAGTTTCCACAAAAATATTAAGCAGCACATCTGTTTTCTGATTGATTATGTATATCCAAATGCATTTCAATAGGGAACTGGAAAAACAACTAGTCCACTCTCTAGGACCACTTTATAATATCAGGAGAGACTAAAATGTTTTGCAAGATGCATCTATTAAAAAGAGTGTTTTTTGAAAAGGGGAGTATTTGATGATGCGGTTAAACCGAGCTTTACTCAGGTTCCGTTTTCATCAGATAACTCTTCATGGAGAGAGTGTCCTGTGCTCTGATGTTATTATCAGGATGGGTAATTCAAATCCAGATCCGTTGTTCTCTCCGCTAATGTGTTTTTGATAAAGGATGGCTGTCAAATGACTCCTACCATGTTGCTGAAAGTCAGTGAGATTAATTAGGGTCTCCATTTAGTGTTAGTGTGTTCAGCTGTTCTCCAGACTCGATAAATCATGCAGAAAGAGACCAAGCTTCTTAATGTGTAAAATGATCTGTGGGAGTTGATTTCTGCCATTCTAGCTAATGTGTATACCGTTACGAAACTTAAACATTCTGTACCTCTCTTTTTCTCCTCCCCTCCTCTCTGTGTGTGTTTGGTTGTTAACAGCCTACAAGGAGCAGGAAGACATCGCTACTCAGGGCTGGTTCATTGGGCTGATGTGTGCCGTCGCTCTATTGGTTCTCATCCTGCTCATTGTTTGTTTCATCAAGAGGAGTCGTGGAGGAAAATACCCAGGTAAATGCAGTAAATACACGAGGCACAGGTGATCACTTTCCATAAATCGTAATATATTAACCCAGGGTTGTTTATTTATGATATGTAAATGATCTTTCTTTTGATGCATTTCAGTTGCAGTTTTGAATTTGCATGACCCTTATCAACTGTTTTATGTATGGCTGTTTTTTTTTGTGTGTTTGTTTGTTTGTTTGTTTTTTATCAGTGAGAGAAAAGAAAGACCTCCCCTTAGATGCTGTTGACCATAAAGACCAAGATGGTTCATTTGACTATCAGTAAGTTTGCACTTTTGATCACTTTTACCATAAACGTAAGCTTTTTCCATAAACAGCGGGTTCATATTCGGGAAAGGGCTTTCAATAATCTTACTTTAGAATTGTTAATATGCACTCTCTGCTATTTACGATATTGAACCTGTTGACGAATAACTTTGTTTTACCTGTTACAGGTCCTGAACTTAGCTCTCACCCTGCAGAGGGGAAAATGCTTTTCTCATTTTAATCAAAAATAACAACTAACCAAGTAAACTAAACGAATATTAAATAACAAATTACATAAATACCCTCAAAAAACATTTGTTGATGAGGCTTTTGTATTAAACACAAAATAAGCTTGCTGGTGGTTAATAGATCTGTTTGCTGACCAGCAGTTGGAAAACAATGCACCAGATTCTCAGGAAACTGTGTTTGCCGTGGAGTTAAAAACTCTCCAGTGCACATCTTATCACCATCCTCGCCAACATCAGTTACTGTAAATGAGTCCTCCCTGTACAGTTCTATCTCTGCTCTCTAAACCAGACAGATCTCATAACTTCACACCCTGAAGTCTTATAATGGCAGAAAGAAATCAGTGTGCACTGTGTTCACACTGCCCCAACAAACACCAATGTCCAGCGCTTTGACAATCTTACTTTAGAATTATTTATATACTATCATAGTGTTTATTAATATTTTGAATAAAAATACGAACTTTTATTTTTAGATTTTCAGTTTTCATTTTAATTGGTCAGTTATGCTATATGCTTTTATTACTTTTATTTCAGTTTTATTAAGTTTAATACATCAGCTTAAGCTTATTTACAGCAAAGTGCAACATTTTTTAATTTTCAAAGTTTTTCATCTAATATTTATATATATTTTTTTAGATTTATTTCAATTAAAGAAAACTATTTTGAATCATTTTAGCTTAAGTGAACAATAACAGCACTGGTGCTTGATGGCTTTTGTTCGGATCAGTGTGTTACCCTGTTGGCATTTGTTAAGGCAGTGTGAACTTTAACAAACAAACTTTTTTCTACCTGTCATCCTTAGTTTGTTTTCAAGGTTTTGTTGTATAAGCCCATATCTTTCAAGATGGTGTGGATATTACAACCTGGGTGCAAAGAGTAAAGGGAAGTGTCAGTGAGGGCTTTAGGCAGACATTATATGTCTAAACCAATATCTCAAGCTTGATAAGCTAATAATTGTCATGTTACTTTTACTTGTTGCGAATGTACTATAGCAACACTTCAAAAAAAAAAAATCAGTTGGATGACAACATAAATAGTCTAATATTGTAGTTAGCAATTTTTTGTTAGTAAATTTTAACATGTTAACTTTCAAAAAGGTAGCTTGATTAGCGTAGCAAGCTAAGCATGTGCTGTGTCTGAAATCGCTCACTCGTTCACTCATTCGCTAATTCCTATATAACGTATGGCAGTTGAGTGCACTTAGCAAGATTAAGTGAGAGAATCTGGGGTAGGTTTTAGGAAATAGTGCTTTAGCCAGTGTACATGGGATATACGCTCAAAGAGTGCATTACTATATAGGGTATAGAGAGCGGTTTCAGATACAGCAATAGCTTCTCCAATACTGCATCTAAGCTACATTTGACATATCTGTAGAAATGTAACATGGATTTATAATTTGATTTAATGTAATCCTCTTAACCACTAATTAAAAAACATGCTCTAACCATTTAGACTACAGCATTTTTAATAAAACCGCTCGTGTGTCACAGCAGTTTAATTATTAACAGTTGCATGATATTAAATGGTTTGCCTTTTGTCAAAGCTGATTCACTTTGAAGAGATCAAGGCCACAGCTCTTCAGTAACTGATTAGCTTATTCATGCTATAAGTGTAAGTTTTGCTTGGCCCTCCCTTTCCACTTATGCAATGGCTCTAGCATTAACTTCTCTCCATCTAACATGTGAATGATGTGGTCAACTCCATCTTCATGAACCCTTTTCTTCCCCCTCCTCTATCAAATTGGCGACTGGGTTGTTAAGGAACGAGAACAGGTATTTGGTTTCAGCACATCATCTCAGCCTGAGCATGTCATTGGTTAGCCTACAAGTGGATGACAAAATGGGGACTAAAGCTGCTATCTAATCAGTGTTTGAGCTCTTCAAAGGTGTTAAACTCCTGGGTCCTTTTATTTTGAATGCATTCCAGCAATTGTATGAAAGTAAACATACCATGTCCTTACCAAACACAACGCGATAAAGCAGCTAGGGCTAAAAGCCAGCTACTAGCAGCTAGGTGTGGATAGTGAGTGGAAGTTTTTTTTTTAGGGTTTTTTAAATAGGGTGACCATACGTCCTCTTTTTCCCAGACATGTCCTGGCCGGAATTTCTAAATTGCCTAAAAATGTTCGGGGTTTTGGCTTTTTTTCCTGTTGACGTGCTCTCTACAGTTCACATACATTAAATGTATGCATATTTGCATTGCTTTGATCATTTTATGTAGATCCCACCATCTCATACGCCACAAATGGTTGATTATGTACAATGCTGGCACATTATTTGTCAGGCTACTTTTCATCATTGCCATTACCTTCATCGAGTATGATAACAATAGGAAAACACTGCCAAAGCCCAGCTATTTTACATAATTTAGGAAAAAGAGGACATATTGTCACCCTAAACATAATATGTTTGGATTGGCTGGGATTGTTTGGTATCTGAAGCTTTTTTTGCTTTTTAGGAACAGCAAACTGCTTTTCACTAGAAACTTGCCAGTTTAGGACACGGTGCTGTAAACATCAGTGCGCACCACTTAAAACACTTATGGTTCATAAAAAGAAATAAAATGTCAAGTACTAAAGCATTTTATTCCCTCTTAAAATAAATTTGTCTCTTTCTTTTAAAAAACAATTAATCACGGTTCACTAGTTTTCATTGTAAGGTTAATAATATTTTAAAAGCTGGTACTGTAATGTCAAGGTTAATTTGTCAGAAAGGAACCAAGGTTCTTCCTCCCATGTTTAACACCCTTGAAATTTTGTTTAATGGAAAGCGCAGTACACAACATTCAATGACAGCATGAAATGTGAAAATGACTTTGCTTTGTTCAGAGGAAACTCAATTGAACGTAAATTTGCATGCAAGGAGTTTTCTAGCAAAATGTATGGTTTTTCAGTTCATTGAGTCTACGATACCCTTTGGCTTTCAGAATTTCTAATGCATTTCCTACAGTCTGAGAAGAGAGTCTGCTGGAGATCAGAGCCCTTGGGTTTTGTCACTAATCTGTATTCAATAGGATGCCACATCTAGAAAATAAACAAAAAGCTAACAACAGATTATTTGCCTTAGGGCTGTTTATAATTATGATGTTCACTGAATCATTTTCGTTTTCCTTTGCATGCAAGGAGTTTTCTAGCTAAATGTATGGTTTTTCAGTTCATTGAGTCTACGATACCCTTTGGCTTTCAGAATTTCTAATGCATTTCCTACAGTCTGAGAGGAGAGTCTGCTGGAGATCAGAGCCCTTGGGTTTTGTCACTAATCTGTATTCAATAGGATGCCACATCTAGAAAATAAACAAAAAGCTAACAACAGATTATTTGCCTTAGGGCTGTTTATAATTATGATGTTCACTGAATCATTTTCGTTTTCCTCTTATTTTTTTTAAGTGATGACACAAATGTTTTGTTTTATTCATTTTTTCTCACTTTTTCTCCCTCAATCATTTTTTATTCTTGGGTGTTTTCCATTCCTGTTGGTCCAATGAAGGTCTCTTGAAAGGGAAAGGTATGAAAAGAGCAGCACTAATTTCATCTGCCTTTGGACTACTTAATCATGAACTAATGCATTTTTTGCCTTGCATTTTTGATTTTAATCGATTCATACATGTCCTTCTCCTTTACTATTGATGAATGATTGAAAGCATACAAAACAAAACATTTATTACTAACTTATATTCTTCCGTGAAACATTCATTCTAACATGAATTCATGAATCAAAATTTGATTTTGTTACAATTTACCATGTATAATAGTGAGTTAATGAACTTTATTTATAGGGTTGTCAAAATAGAATTTTTTTTGATGAAATATTTTTTTATAGTTTATTTGCTGAAAATGTACTCACCCCCAGGCCATCCGAGATGTAGATGTTTTTTCTTCATCGGAGGAGATTTGGAGAAATGTAGCATTACATCACTTGCTTGCTAATGGACCCTCTGCGGTGAATGGGTGCCATCAGAATGAGAGTTCAAACAACTGATAATAACATCACAATAATCCACACTGAAAATATCCATCAATTAACGTTTTTCTAGTAAAGTGAAAAGTTGCATGTTTGTAAGAAACAAATCCATCATTAAGGTGACTAAACCTTCGCTTTGGGCCAAAATACATAATCCATAACCAAAGTTCATAATCCATAACAACACTCCCTCAAGTGAAAAAGTCCATCGCCTGCTGTCCTTTCATATCCTAATCCACCAACATATTTGTTTAGAACAGTTTTGGACTGGGGGTTTCCTTATAAATGGGGCTTAATTTGTGCATATTTTTCTCCTGATTCAGACAAGATAAAACGTCTTGATGGATTTGTTTCTTACAAACACGCATCTTTTCACTTCACAAGGCAATAATTGATGGACTTAAATTGTGTGGATTACTTGTGGATTATTGTGATGTTATTATCAGTTGTTTGGACTCTCATTCTGACGGCACCCATTCACTGCAGAGGATCCATTGGTGAGCAAGTGATGTAATGCTACATTTCACCAAATCTGTTCTGAAGAAACAAACTCTTCTACATCTTGGCCTGTGGGTGAGTACATTTTCTGCAAATTTGTATTTTTTGGTGAGCTACTCCTTTAATGTGTTAAGTTTTAAAATGGAGCAAGACAGAAAGAGTATTTACTGCCAAAATATACAGTGCTACTGTATATTTACATACAGTTCTCAATAAATTTGACTAAAACTAATATGTAATTTCATTTTACATTTTTATTTGACTGACAGCCCTATTTATTTATGTATTTATTTATTTATTCATTCATCCATTTTTTTTTTCAAAATATGTTTTTTTAAAAATAGGCGTATACAACAAGCCCTGATTCATGCCAAATTTTGTATCATGCCATTACAGTTTTCACATATTCTGTCAAAAATGATGTACAATGAGAAATACATGTTGCTCATTGAAAATGTCCACTCACATCATTCAAGCAGGTGATACTGTGAGTGTGAGGACTGATCGATTAAATCAAAAACTCATTCTCATTATTCCCTGAACTCTTGCTGGTGCAGAGTGTGTGTTTGGTGGGGGAAAAGCATTTCCTGAATGTGCCTTATTGAATCTAAAGATTAATAACTAAGCATGATTTTCCAGTTGTCATGGTGCATGCACAGAACCGTGTCACCTGGCAATATCATTCCATTTATATTTAATGTACACATTTAACACAGAATTGATTCTTGTTTATAGAGAGGATACATGCAGTTGGTAAAAGCATTTTTATGACCCATAGAAATGGATAATATGATGGAGCCTGGTTGTAAACCTTGTTTTGTGAGAGGACAAAGTAGTTTACATACATTTCGATTTAACAGCCCATCCGTAATACAATTTACAACAAGGTCCATGGATATTACATGAAATTAAAGATGGACCTCTGTGTTAAGTCAACGGTTTTTAGGATCTGATAGATGTTGTTTTCTTGGTGCTTCTCAGTTGATGTAGGTCCCAGTTCCTCATGCATGACACGCTTACCGCTCAGCAGAGGTCCGTTTTAATACGAGTCGCATGTGTTTGGGCATGGACAGGACAGGACGGGATGAAAGATCCACCTGTGATAATATAGTGCAATGAATAATTTATAGCCATGACATCATTTATAGAATACAAAGAGTGGAGAGAAAAGAGTTTGTCTTTGTCTTTAGTAATACATTTGTGGTTCTTTCACCTTGGGAGTTTTTTTTTTTCTCCTTAAAGTTTCTCAAAAGTGAGATTTTAAATGTTTTTCTCAGCATGGTCAAGTTGGAATAGTTTTTACATGGAATAAAAAGCTAAACTGTCAATTATTTTGAAAATTTCATTACATTTAGATGCCACATATTGTATCTGGGAAATAGGATTTTGACATTTTAGTATTCTTTGCCCCGGTTTATCTTTATTCAGATGGCATCGAATACCTTGAGGGAATTTCAAAACTCCTGACTTTATTGGTTCACAGCCCCCCTTATCCTAGCTTATTTTCCAAGGGTTAAGATTTACACTACCCGGAGAAATTTATTTGTTAACTTTACCATTAATCTCTGTAAGGGGTTTTATTGTGATCAGTTCCGCAAGCATTTTTTAAGCGAATCATCTAAGCAGTAAATGTCATGTGACTGATAACTTTGGAGTCATAAAAAAGTGTCACCTTGACCAGGCTGAATAGATGAACGTTATATAAATAAGGTAAATGTATGTCTATGATAATAAAATATATTGACAGAGAGAGATGGAGAGAGACACTACTGTTCAAAAGTTTGGGGTCAGGATTTTTTTTTTAATTAATATGTATTATTAATACTTATAAGTCTTTGGTATTTATAATATTACAAAAGATTCCTGTCAAAAAAAGCGGAACTTTTAAACTTTCTATGTGTCAAAGTATCCTTAAAACATTTTCCACAAAAAAAAAAAAAACTTGATAATAATAAATTATGATTTTCTCAGAGGCATATCAGCATATTAGAATGAATTTCTGAAGGATCATGTGACACTGAAGACTGGGGTAATGGCTGCTGAAAACTCTAAAAGCTTTGATATCACAGGAATGAATTACATTTTAAATATATTGAAATAAAAAATAGTATTATAATATTGATTTTACTGTAGATTTAATCAAATAAATGCAGCCTTGGTGAGCATGAGACTTCTTTCAAAAACAAAAAAATTATGTCATATATAATAATATAAGAAAAACATTTAAAATATATAATAAAATCATTTTTAAATTGCTTATGTTTATGTAATCATAATACATGCCTACTTTTGAATGGTTGTCTATAGAGAATCTATTGTAGTTACAACATCCACCAAAGGGTGCTACTGTAACAGGTCAATGCTAACCGGCCGAACCATGTTCTAACTCTTTTTCTCTTTCTCCCAACAGCAGTGACGAAGACAACAAGCCATTGCAGGGTAGCCAGACGTCCCTGGACGGGAACGTAAAAGAGAGCGACGACAGTCTTGTGGACTATGGTGAAGGAGGAGACGGCCAGTTCAACGAGGACGGCTCTTTCATTGGCCAGTACACAGTTAAGAAGGACAAAGAGGAGACGGAAGGAAACGAGAGCTCAGAAGCCACGTCACCTGTTAATGTCATCTACTCTCTGGCATAGTACCCTGACCTGAGCACAGCACCCCCCAGCGGACCGGAGGGTGCCACTACACGCATAAAAATACATATATATACAGAGAGAATTACAAGTATTCACATACAACGCACTGGAGTGCATGATCCTTCTGAACAAGGGATGGGGAAAGGCAGGTGAGCCAAAAACGGTGTTCAGAAACCTTTGTTTAAGGTGTCCCCATGCCCCACACGGACTTTAGTGTGCCTTTAGGGCGACGGGGCGGACTTTCAAGCTTTTCATGTTGCTTATGCTCTTCTTTTTTTATTTTGTAAATCTTTAATCTGCCCCTTCCTCCTCCTCTTAACTGTAGCTAGCATCAAAGAAACAGAGATACAAGCACCAGACCTGTGACATATCAACTGTGGGTCGACTCATCTGCAGAATGTCGGCAAATACGTTTATCATATTGATATTTCCGCAGTGAATGATCCTTTTTTTCCCCACCTCAGATAAGATGCGTCCAAAAACATGAATTCTGTATACAGTGCTGGCACGGTTTGATGTGCTTTATAAAACTATGCACTATGTATTATCATTATCATGCTTTTGGGTTAAAATTGGACGTTAGAATCTCATGTTTACTTTTTTATGTTGACTTTCGCAAAGAAAAAAAAAAACATTCAGTCCTGGCTGTATTCCTGTATACAGGGACTGATATCATGCTTTCATTTGCCATTTCTCTGTTAATATATTTTCACTGGCTGCAACTATTCAATGCCACCTATATTTATCGGCCGAGGTTAGATGGCATCAAATGTAAATGAAGATAAAAAGACAATATTTTGAAGCATGGTAGTATTTTAGCGCAAAGGACAATGGAGAGGTTGTAATACGAAGAGTTAAATACACAATGATATATTCTTTTTTTTATTTTTTTATAAGACTTGCTTTATATAGTCCTCAAAAGAGAATGATGATGATGATGAAATGATCGCATTTGTTTTTCATTCTTTCGTTTTTTTAAATCAGCTTAGTGGAAATTTCAACATCAGAATAAGTTTCTTCAAGGAGTCTAAAAAAGTTTGGGGTGCATCAATACATAACTGGGTTGTCATATGAGGATTTCTAGATATGAATAACTCAATATAGACATACAGAGTCGGTAATGAGAAGTGTACATATTGTTTGGGGTTGATCCAGTGTTGATTCTCTTTGTCCGGAGTTTGGCTGAGACACTGCCCTGAAGACATGCCACTGTAACTGTAGTGTCACTCTACCTGTACTCTCATAATGCTACCATTACTTTATCTTCTGCACTACTATGTACTTACAGTAGGGTTCAAAAGTATGAGGCCACACTGAAAACCTGGGAGTTTTTTTAATTGCACCTGGAAATTAACATTTTAAGATTTTGAAAAATTTAAAACTAAAAATTGATACATTTAATGTCAACATGAAATCAAAATTCACAATTCTTCATTTTATGGAATGTTGTAGAGTTTAATATAAATTATTTGTTTGTGCACATCTTTATTTAAAAAAAAAAAATTCATGTGCCATTCAGTTCTCAATGGACAAAATCTCCTTTCTTTTGTTCGAGAAGCTGTTTCACTCGGATTACCTCACAATAGGGGAAAGAAACACAATGGCAACTTCTGTTTAATGCAAATTTAAGATTTAATTAAATAAGCGATTGATTCAATTGAAACAATGAGTCTCTTGTGACTTGTAATACTTCTGCATTCAAAGAGCATCTTGTGTATTTGGATGCTCTCAAATCCTGCTGGAGGACATGATCGTTTGGTTTTACACAAACTTGAGCTCACGCAGCTTGATTTCTGCTGTCATTAAAGCAAAAGGTAAAAAAACATATTAAGACATTCTGAAACTTAAAATGTTTTGCTGACGACAATTTGTAATGAAAAATGTTTATTAAATTACAAAACAATGTCAGTGCATTTTCACTAGTGATCTTAAACTTTTGGACCCTTCTACATATTTATCTTGATTTGTATTTATAAAAATAATAGGGACTAATATATTAATAATTTATTGATGACTGCACAACAGCTTCTCGGAGTCTGAGCTGTGACGTTAGCACATTGTGAAAGCTTCTCTGTGAAATGTAGATGAAAACATAATTCAGAGATCAAGGACCATGTTTGTGGCGATGTAAAATATGAAATGTGATGTCACCATTAAAAGGAGTATGTCTTATTTGTTAATTGTGCTGCTCTTTTTAGTATTATTGTCATATCACTGCTATTGTGTTAATATATTAGAATTAATTTAATGTAATTTCTACATAACATAAAATGGAAATATTGTGCATTTATTTTTTTCTCAAATAAGGCCTCGATCATGATGTAAATATCCTCTTTTTTTCTTTATAAGCAGGTTTATTGTGTTACAGTAAGTAAATAATTCATAATAAAAATGCTTTTTGGTGCATCCCAAAATGGAAGACTCCAAGCACAGGTTTGGATTCGGGTTCAGCCGGTGATCTTGGGTATTTGAATGAGACTTGTTTTTGTGTCTTGTCATTTTAATTGTGACATAGTTCGTCACTCGCGTCTCGATTTCACCCGGCTGACACCATTACCGGTGATGTAAATAGCAAATGCTGTAGAGCTGTACCATTGTAGCATTCTGCACCGAGGATGATACCTTTTTTGTAAACATTTGAACTGTGTTATGCCAGAGAAAATGGTTTGGCATTTCCTGTTCATGTATTACTTCACCACAGGCTCCCATAATGCCTTTCACCTGTGACAGCCCAGCTGATCTATCATGCTCTTTGAAAGGGCTGAATATCAGGTCGTAAGTTCCTGATAGGGATGCGATGTCGTATACGATGCCTTTGCAGTAAAGAAATACATGTTAATGAAATTCAATGGATCCATCAGATCTGCTTTCTCTCCAATACCTCAAAGCAATACTTTCCTCGTTTGCCTTTTTTCTGCACAGTAAGCCTAGTCTACCAGTTTTTGTAGCAACTTACAAGCACAGACAACGCATTAGATCACACGTTGCATTGCTGTAGCTTTATGAGTCACAGTTTAACATCATGGCAATTCAGAGTCGGCTTGAACTTATTTTGTCCAACCTTGCTGCCACTTTTATTGTCTTCACAGATTGTTCCCCTGTCCATGAGTTGTACTGGGCTCGTGATGTTCATAAAATATATACAACTATATATTTGTTGGTAAATTGCTAATTCTGTCTTTCTGCCGATGTCGGATCATCTGTGTTCTTATGAACTGGTAACATGCATAATCTAGTTACCATAAAACACAATAATTGCCACAGCTGTTCTCATGACACGTTTGATTTTTCCCAAAACCATACATGTTGGTTATTATTATTATTATCATCCTTATTGTATTTTTAGCCACTTGTGCATCGGAGCAGGTTTTTTAATTGCTTATCATGCAGGTTCACAGTGTTTTTCTGCAAATCATAGAAATGGTCAATCATTATTGTTCAACATGTATGCGTGTATGACAAGATGCTGCAACTTAATCTGCTCAAGACGCCTTTCTTTATAGTAAAGCTGTGTCATTTTCTCAACCTTCTGATCTGTCCTTTCTGATTACAAAATAGTTCCACTTTTTAAACACCTGCTGTTTTAGTTTGTGAACTTTACACACTCCCATTGATTCATCTTTATATAGGAAGACATTTGAGTATTTTGATGATTTTATAAAAGGAAAGTGAACGTGTTAACTATTCAGAATTGGACTGAGAATACTTTTGCAGTTCAGTTCTTGAATTTGAATTGACGTAGCAAACAGGCAGATTCAAACTTGAACTGAAAATGACATAAAATTAAATTTAAAAAAACTAGTCGTTTTTAAGTTTGTTGAAATTAAAATATATAATGTATACACACACAGAGACATTATTTTTATATATATTAAATGGTTTATGTATAATTTATAAAAATTATTTTAGATATAAAATGTATGTATTTTATATTAAGTGTGTGTGTGTGTGTGTGTGTGTGTGTGTGTACCTGTTTTTCTATTCTGGTGGGGACTTAAACCTGAATACACACAGACTCATGGGGACTCGTGTCACGGTGGGGACCTAAATTGAGGTCCACACGGGTAAACAAGATATTAATTAACACAGAATGACGTTTTTTCTTTATATAGGAAGACATTTGAGTATTTTGATGATTTTATAAAAGGAAAGTGAACGTGTTAACTATTCAGAATTGGACTGAGAATACTTTTGCAGTTCAGTTCTTGAATTTGAATTGACGTAGCAAACAGGCAGATTCAAACTTGAACTGAAAATGACATAAAATTAAATTCAAAAAAACTAGTCGTTTTTAAGTTTGTTGAAATTAAAATATATAATGTATACACACACACAGAGACATTATTTTTATATATATAAAATGGTTTATGTATAATTTATAAAAATTATTTTAGATATAAAATGTATGTATTTTATATTAAGTGTGTGTGTGTGTGTGTGTGTGTGTGTATGGTAGACTGTGTTGCGCAGATGTGTGTCAGTCGGAGCCGGTTGATGAAATCTGGCTTCACAGGTTGGTTCAGGGACAGACTCATGGGGACTCGTGTCACGGTGGGGACCTAAATTGAGGTCCACACGGGTAAACAAGATATTAAATCACACAGAATGACGTTTTTTTGCAAATCTAAAAATGCAGAAAGTTTCCTGTAAGGGGTAGGTTTAGGTGTAGGGTTGGTGTAGGGCGATAGAATATACAGTTTGTACAGTATAAAAACCATTACGCCTATGGAATGTCCCCATTTAGATAGCTAAGTAAACATGTGTGTGTGTGTGTGTGCACTGTACTGGATGGATGGATGGATGGATGGATGGACAGACAGACAGATGTTATTACTTCAGAAGTTATCTGAAGTGAATATCAAATGTCATTCATATTCAAGGTAGGTAACACAGCAAACAAGATACAGATGTAGTTGAAATTATAATATATAAAATAATACTTTAATTTGATAACATTCTAATCAAAGTCATTTATATTCAAGGTAGGTTAACACTAGATTAAAACCAGTATGTTGCAGATCTCTATTCATCAATCTCTCAGTCGCACAGGCCATTATCATCCACACTACATCTGACTGAGCCACAGCTCTCCCCATTGATATTGCCCATATTCGGGTGACTACAATGACTTCCACAGCTTAATGTAGCCGATACAACTTCTTTCTTTTACTCAGATGACAAGAGGCACAAAAAACAATGGTGAAATAAATAACAAGCCAGTGACAATAAATCTGTTGTGGACCTTGGAAAGAGTGCACCATAGACATATTTTATTTAGGAGAGATGAATACATCTTGCCTTGACCCCCCTGAGACTGGTAAATATTAATGCCCTCTGCCTTCCGCCATCTGAGAGAAAAGCCAGGACTGTCACATATATCTCTCAGGGACACCATTAACTAAAATATCCACGGCCAGAGCTTCAAGCCACTTTTCAGTGCCAGATAGGATTACTCTCTGAATGCACTGACTAAGTGCAGTCGAATTATTCATATGAAAGTGTGGCGCAACATTAACCTGAGACTGGTTTTAATTAAATCGGTTGTTTGCGAAATGAGTTTTGTTCAATTTTATGCCATTTTAAGAAAATAGTCATCCCAAAAATGTAAAAATTAGCTGAAAATTCACCCTCAGGCCATCCAAGATGTTCTTCATCAGAAAAGATTTAGAGAAATGTAGCATTACGTCACTTGCTCACCAATGGATTCTCTGCAGTAAATGGGTGCCGTCAGAATGAGAGTCCAAACAACTGAAGAGACAAGCTCATCTACATCTTGGATAGTGGGCAAGAAAATGTTCAGCAAATTTTCATTTTTGGGTGAACTATTCCTTTAAGCTGACAACATTTTAAGCACATATAAATCATGTCCGAGCTTCCCTTTGGAATCAATGTAGCCCATTTCATAGTTTCAGGAAACCAAAAGGATGCTCATAATCTTCATTCTTAGAACCCTAAGAGAGATATCAAAAGATTATGAAGGTCTTTGAGATAATTAGGATAAATGCAGGCGGATGCTCCTGTGATAGAAACTCATGCCAGTCGTCACATTTTAAACTGTGCTGATCTTCCAGCCTGGTTTAATCATTCAGAGTGCTCACACACTTCTCCCTGCATTTCAACTCACTTCTCCATTTAGTTTTCCCTCCATCAAGGGGCTATACTTCAGACACCATGGCCAAAATCCTGATTGATTCATTCAGTTTTGTCGTGGCATATATAGTGCAATATTTTAGAATGTTTAATAATGGAATTGAATTGGAATTGAAACCATTCTTGAGTTGATTCACACCACAGACAAGTGCAAGAAGCTTTTCATTAAAACAATAAACTGATAAAATAATAAAATATTTAAATCATGAAATAAAAATAATGAAAATAATGACAAAATATTTTTATAAGCAACAAGAAGCCCCTAAATACCCATGACCAAATATAACACAATGACAGGTCCAAATGTATCAACAACAAAAAAAAATCAAAATATGCATGCTAAAATACATCAAACTACAAAATACATAAAATACATCAAACATCAAAAATTCAGAATACAAATACATAACCCCCATCACAAATTTCTGCGATTAAAAA